TTTTAAATAGCGTAATAAAACCCCAATAGAGAACTTTTACAGATAATTTATAACTTCCCCGAAAACTTAAGGCTTGTAATAACGGGCGAAGTGGATTGTATTTTTTTAAAAGCTCAAAAGTATCGGTTCTTAGTGCTTATTCTGAATTTATATAAAAACTTTTAAGCAATTATTAAATGTATATTAATAATTTATGATTAGTTTTCTTTAAATTGTTTTATTGCTGCAATTGGAAGAGCTCACGGCTTCTAAGATCTGTTTTTTTTTTATTGCCCTTGTAGGCAGACGAGCTTACGGCCCACCTGATAGTGAGTGGTTAGCGTCGCCCATGGACTTCAGCAATGCCAGGGGCAGAGCCAAGCCGCTGCCTACCGTATTTACAATACAATGACTACCCCACTCTTCGAACCGAAACGCATTACTGCTTCACGGTAGAAATATGGAGGGTGGTGGTTCCTACCCGTGCGGACTCACAAGACCTCCTACCACCAGTAATGAAAAGTTTTATTAATGATTATAAGATATTCGTTTTCTTTTATCACGAGAGCTATGAATCATTATTGTTTTATTCAGTAAGTAATATTATTAAAATTAAGTTGCAAATACATAAACCCACAACTACGCATATAGAAATAGCAATATGGAAGTTTCATGTATCAAACAGATAATGTCTTTATTTGGAATTTGATTTGAGATATGAGATTGATATTTGGGATTGACTGGGTGGGAACTTTGCCATTCCAAACTCGTCCTTAACAAGCAACTAATTAGGTTTTGATTGTTAATGAATGGTTTGAAATGGTTCCCGTGGGCCATCGTGAAGTCTCAATTCTACTGTACTATACTCCTATACTAATAATATAACACCGGACTGGCCTGTGGAAGAATTGGGCAAATAGCAGTATCGATCCATTGAAGCAATAGAATCAGTGAAAAGAGGAATTTATCGATTTTATGATTTAGAGTAGAATTTATCGATTTTATTATTTGGAGAAGAATTTGTCGTTTTCTTTAGCCACCTTTATTATATAAAGAAGAATTTATCGATTTCTTTAATCGATTTTATTATTTTACAATTGTCAGCGAGAGGGCAAGAAGCCGCGGGGTATGCTGTGATCAATGACTTTGCCTCATCATTAGTATTAATTACTAGCTGACCCGGCAGACTTCGTAGTGCCTCAATCAATAAATAAAAGACCTAAACTTTTGTATAAAATAAACTTAAAACAAACAAAAGGAATTTTCATATGTATCTACCTTTTAAACTTTCTCTGGACTTCTATAAATAATTCAAGACCAAAATTAGCCAAATCGGTCCAGCCGTTCTCGAGTTTTAGCCAGACTAACGAACAGCAATTCATTTTTATATATTGGTCGCTCGTTTGGGATGCGACTTGTGTAGATACCATGGCACCGACACATCTTCCTGGGACTAATTCTAACGCTGGCAGCGCTGCTTCAATGGCTGAAGGCCTTAAACGACGGAAATATGAAAATCTCTCTAAAGATTTCATTTTTGTTCCGTTTGGGGTGGAAACTTTGGGCCCCTGAGGCCCATCTGCTAAAAGCTTTTTTAAGGACCTTAAAAAAAAACTTTTTGAGGCTTCGGGAGACCAGAAGGCCGGTACGTATTTTGCACAAAGAATTAGCATTGCTATCCAGCGTGGAAATGCTGCCAGCCTTCTGGGAACTCTGCCAACCGGCGGTGAGCTAACACAGATTTTCTATTTATAAGTAGCTTTACGTAAATAATTATTATTTTTATTCATTTATTAGTTTTTTATTAAATATTTTTTTTTTTATATATATGTATAGATTATTGATTATTAATTATGTAGTGTGATTATAAAATGCGGTCTGCATAGAATCAAAAACGGATGAAGTATAAAAATGAAAAAAAATCTCTAGTAAGTACATCTCGATTGAACATCGCATTAACCTGGGTACTACTTTTAAGACCCCCACCGGATCAGATGGGGTAGGGCGGTACGCTTTAACCAACTTAATACAGCCCATGGTAATCTGTGCCGAGGTGGTTTGTATTCGTATAACACGGAAATGTATTTTCAATTCGACTTTTCTCTTTGAATTTAGACACAGCGAATTTAATAATACGAGCACAAAGTGTTTTAATGTTAAATTCGGGATATTTTTCCGGGTGTCATTTGCACACGCTTTTGACCTTTCCTAATTTATATATAGGGAGGGACAGAGGTGCCGTCGTCGCTTCTGTACAGGGCCGTAATTGGAAGGCGATAACGGAAATATTTTATTCAAATTCAATTAGCGAAGACGCGGAAATTGTTGGAAGCGAAATCGCCTATGTACTACGATCGCTTCCATGGTCTTGCCGTAGACAATTTACTACGCTGCTTTGATTCAGAGTTCGGCTCTGCGTCAAGTCAAAAGATTTAGGTACTGACCTCGTATCTCGTGTTTCATATAGCTTGCTGTTTGGGGCCGTGGGACTTTTCAGTGGTGACGTGCCCATGGTGTCACCAGTCCGATTAACGGACGGCGAGATTGGGATTTTAGTGACCACCACTACATCTTCGACTGGGCGGCTACCGATACCCACGATTGACGTAAGGTTATTCTCACACGCCTTTGGATGATCATACTGGGCGGCTTCTAATGTACGCGCAGCCGTTATGCTAATTTTTGTGTTCTGGATCCTTCAGGACAATACTAACGCGTTATTGTCTGCGTGTCGCGAATACTCTAACCCCTTTCTCGTAGAAACGACAATCAATCTTGACAAAGGTAAATAAGGGTTTGAGTTGCATATTAAAAAAAAAAATTTGAATGTTTTTTTTTTCAGATCACAACATCTGGACTGTAATTTTTCCAAATAAAATTCAATTTCAAATTAAATTTCATTTTATTATCATTCCAGACACACAAGCATACGGCCCAGCTGATGTTGAGTAAGGAGAAGAGTCAAGGCACTGTTTAATGCGATTTTTTCAATTTTTATTGAAGTTAGACCCTATTGCTTCACTGAAACAGATCCGTGTCTTCACAAGCAAACAGACAAATCCGCCTCGTTGTCAGATCCTATTGACCCGTTTTTATGAAAATGCTTTGAAAAGCTACCCTGAAAAAGAAGTGCATCACGATAACGCTTTTAACGTAGCCGCCTCTAACAACAACTTTTCAACAAGATCCCACTAAACGTTCAATTACTACCTTTTTTTTTTATTGCCTTTGTAGGCAGACGAGCGTACGGCCCACCTGATGGTAAGTGGTTACCGTCGCCCATGGACTTCAGCAATGCCAGGAGCAGAGCCAAGCCGCTGCCTACTGTTCATAGATTTAAGAAAACTGTCAAGGAACGTTTGTGCAGCAAGGCATATTATAAAGTTAAGGATTATTTACTAGATGGCACTACGTGGGAATGAGGCGTTCGCTCCTGGCCTTTTCATTTTCATTATTATCATTATTTTTAATTGTATTTTTGACTTGTTTTTTCCTATATTGTAAATATTTTTAATTATTTAAAAAAAAGTAAATATTTGAGAAAAAACAAAAAAAAAAGCCCGCTGAGTTTGTTTCGCCGGTTCTTCTCAGGACTGTGGCTTTTTTTGGAACCGTTGGTAGAGTTAACATTGTTATTTATATTACATTCAACAAGTGTGTCATACTGACATCTAAGTTGAAATAAATTATTTTGAATTTGAATTTGAATTGAATAACTACTTTAAAAGTCGTCGTGGCCTAAAGGATAAGACGCCCGGTGCATTCGTATCCAACGATGCATCAGTGTTCGAATCTCGCAGGCGGGTTCCAATTTTTCTAATGAAATACGTACTTAACAAATGTTCACGATTGACTTCCACGGTGAAGAAATAACATCGTGTAATAAAAATCGCACGTGGAAAATTATAATTTGCGTAATTAGTGGTGGTAGGACTTCTTGTGAGTCAGCACGGGTAGGTACCACCATCCTGCCTATTTCTGCCATGAAGCAGTAATGCGTTTCGGTTTGAAGCGGTTGTAACTATACTGAGACCTTAGAACTTATATCTCAAGGTGGGTGGCGCATTTACGTTGTACATGTCTATGGGCTCCAGTAACCACTTAACACCAGGTGGGCTGTGAGCTCGTCCACCCATCCAAGCAATAAAAAGAAAAGTGGATCGCGGTTCTCATTCGGAGGTAGATTCAGCGAAGCCTGCTCTTCCTAGGGTTAGTGTTGTCAAATTCACTCAGACCGAGCCCGTGAGCTCACCTACGTGTCCGAGCATAGCTGGTATAGACCCTCAGGCTGCCAAATAATAATAATCCCATAACACTTTCAATATGAAAATATAACATTATGTAATAAAAATCAAACAAGTGTACTTTTATTAAATTTATAATCGCCGGTAGACCACCCATATACTTATTATCTATCGAGAAGCATTCATGCATCCTAATTTGAGGTTTGAGACAGCTTTTGAGACTTCCATCTAACGTCTCAGGATTGGTCCGGCACCAATGTTCTGAGGCGTCCGTTGAAAGCTAAAAACATTAACTTCAAAAAGCAAAGCTTAAACTCTTGATAACAAATTTAAGGTTAAACTTTGAACAGGTGTTACGAGATCAGGACGAGTACGTGACGCGCATCCAGCGCTGACAAAATAATTATTTATATAGGGATCTCAAAATGTCAATTTAAGGTTGTCATTAATACTCCCGCGTCGTATGATAATTGCTTTTTCTTGTCATCTGCTTAGACGGGATTTTACAGTGTGAATATTACGTTAAGACGCAGGGCTCAAGTTTCAATTGCCTCGTGTAAGTGCTAGCCCATCCCGTAAGCCAAGAAGCATGACTGCTTCATGATGAGAACTAAGTTTATGGTGTTACCTAGTATACAACTGGCCTTAATACAACCACAACCAAAACTCCCGCATTAGCCTCCATTTCAAAAACGCTGCACATCGCGTTCCAAACTCAACACGTCTTGCTACCTTCACACAAACCCCAAAATTCAAACGTAATTAAGGTCAATTTACTCACTGTTTCATTAGGTCAATAATGAAGTACGCCAAGTCCTTGAAGCCCAATGGTCCTGTGCGCACTAACATGTAATATTCGTCCTTGCAGGTCTGTTTAGTCTTCACGAAGTCGAAGGAGAAACCGCCAGTCGTGACCAATGGGATACCGGTCCCGCCCAGGAACTTTGAAATCCTAGCAACGGATGCTGTTGACAAAAAAGGATAGTATTAGTGAGTAGTCAAGAGTAGGGGATATTCGGTCATGTCCGAGGGTGTGCACGTTATGGCGTTGGTGGTCTCCAGTGATCGCACCATACTCAATTGGACATGCTTATAAAGAATCACCAACCATTTGACGGGATTTTCTCTCTCTAAGCCCTTCCCTATTTGTAATTCATTTTTATGGCGTCTATCAATACCCCAGCTATCGCCCACATGGTACAACTTGATTACTGAAGCCTAAAGACCGCCCGCATCACTTAGGCATGGGAAGTTCGTTGGACTTAATGACGCCGGACCGAAATTATAAACAAAGACGTTGCAGTGTCGTTTCCCGCTCTTGAAACAAATGAAATGTACCTATCCATATGTACTACGCTGCTAATACTGTTACGCCGGTAAGTGTATAGCCATCTATCGCCGAGCAGCCGAACGAATACCGAAGGATCTAGTAACTAGATCTAGAACGCGCGAGGAGTACAACGCCATCTATTGTCAGATATCGGAAACAAACATCGAAGGTACTCGACTTGTGAGGAATGTTGTCGACGATTCTAGGGATTTCGTCTCGACTATAAAAGCGTTGCAGAAATAGCACGCAGCCAGTCAGTAATCGAAACTACTCGAAACGAAACAGCGAACGGATCACCTGAAGCGAAGAAGAAGAAGCGAATTGAGAATTTTAAAGTGTTCTGTGTGTGTTCCAAGTGATAAATACAGTTTAAATTGTACTTTGGTGGAACGTTTATTTCTCCCGAACCCTAGCGCCTAACAATACTTAGAGAGCGTCGATCGGTAATACTAAGTTGTCTAGCAGCTTGCAATGTCTATACTAATTACAATACTATACTTATCATGAACATTACATCAAATGATTAAGTATTGGGCATCATTACGTACCTTCATTATAATATTATTTTGTCTATTTTGTAAATTTCAAACTGCTAGGGAAATGAGTATAACCGTAATTTTTAACGTTTCATGTGATCTGTGTGGTTGTGCGAATTTTTTAACTTTTCGATCGAGTAAAGTTAACTCAGTTTTGTATGGAGTTAGAACAGCGTCCCTAACGCTGTTCTAACTCCATACATTTTTTTTATTGCTTAGATGGGTGGACGAGCTCACAGCCCACCTGGTGTAAAGTGGTTATTGGAGCCCATAGACATCTACGACGTAAATGCGCCACCCACCTTGAGATATAAGTTCTAAGGTCTCAAGTATAGTTACACTAAGCATTAATTCGCATTAAGCATACTGAATATTATATTACGACATATTACTAAAATAATATTTCATTGTGAACGTTGCAAACTGCTAGGCAATAGAGGGGATATTCAGTTTTCATGTAATTTCCGTGCCGCTGGCATTTCTGTCAATAATTAATTAAAGTCTTACGATCTGCCTTATAAGAGATAAATTCTGTTGTTTGGCTTTTATTAAAATACGGAATTCACTGTTTTAATATAATTACCTTAGTAACTAGAACTATTATTAAAGATATTAGACTGGTCATCTCAATCTATACTAATATTATAAAGAGGAAAGATTTGTTTGTTTGTTTGTTTCGAATAGGCTCCGAAACTACTGGACCGATTTGAAAAATTCTTTTTCCATTAGAAGCCGACATTGTCCCTGATGAACATAGGCTATTTTTTTTAATTTTTTTTTAATTTTTTTTTTTGGTTTCATGTGTGTTTTAATGTTTCCGAAGCGAAGCGAGGGCGGGTCGCTAGTCTTCTATACAAATACAAATCTACAATGGTCTAACTAAAAAATGCTATTTTAAAATACTTATTTTTCTACCTGGATGATTCTAATGGTCAAAGTAATAAAATTACGTGTGCAAATTTTTCAAGTACCTACATAAAATATCTGATGTTTGTGAATATTACGTTAAAAGACACCCTTACGTACAAGTGAAACAAATAAAAGCCTGTTAGGTAATTAATGTCTCTATGTTTGTTTATCCTTTATATGTTCCCAAGCTATTAGGATGAAAGTTGTTACTGTTATAATTGGGGCTATAAGGAAGGTTGCTCTTACTGTTATATCAAATGAATGTGTTTTTTATTTAAATAATATATACCTATGTATAGTCTCCGCGTAGAAGGAATTGTATTCACTAGTGGGTAATATAGTTAAAGGCTATACGTATAATAAACAAGTGTTACTATGGAAGCATTTATGTAAATTTTATCTTAAAATAACGGCCCGAAGCCGGCCAACGAAACAATCTGCCCATCAAAAGACAAATGATGACACTTTTTATTTTATTGCTCAGGTGAGTGGACGAGCTCACGGCCCAGCTGGTGTTAAGTAGTTGAGCCCATAGATATCTAGAATTTAAATGCCGCCACCCACCTTGAGACAAGAGTTCTAAGGTCTCCGTTTTTATAGTACAACGGCTGCCCCACCCTTCAAACCGAAACGCATTATTGCTTCAGGGCAGAAGTAGGCAGGGTGTTGGTATCCACCCGTGTGGACTGTAAAGATATCCTACCACCAGTAAGTCGCTCATGTATTCGCTGTTTGCATGTTGTGGTCAAAACCAGGATGATTATGACGAGTAATTTTTATTTAATTCCATAAGCACAATATAAAGGGTGTATGGAAATGGTTGTGCAAGGTAGAGGGGGAAGAGGTCGACCGAAGAAGACATAGATGGAATGTGTGAATGACGATATGAGAGAGAGAAGAGTGAGTGTTGAGATGACGGCTGATAGAAGAGAATGGATGAGAAAAATTAGCTGTGCCGACCCCACCTAGTGGGATAAGGTGAAGAAAAAGAAGAAGAATATAACGAAGCTCTTAAGTTATTATCTCTTAAGTTATTACTAGAGGTCCCACAGTAGTCGAAATTCGACTATAATTAATTGGAATTGTAAGTTTGTACACATACTATAATCACAAATTTCGTCAAGGCTACACTATAAAAAAATGTTAATAAAGACAAACAATATTTAATCTATTCTCAATTTGACCACAGACGTCAAGAACAAAAGTTTGAAAATAAATAGTATGCGTGCGTGTTGCGACAAATACATGGTATGTAGTGTGTGTAATGTTTTCTTTATTGATTTAATGTATCTTTTATGAATTATTTAAAAAAAATATTAGCATTGTGCACTTCTTCGCTATATTCTCTATAAGTGTGGAAAGTTTCATACTCCTCCGTCCGCGCAATTTTCGTAAAAAGGGATACAAAGTTTTTGCTTCACCTATTAATATATAGATATATTAAGTATCTACTGTTGTATAATTAAATACAATGCTACATCTCGTTCACAGGTAATAATCGTATGCTCTATAATTTCGGTTCAATTAAATTAGCTAATTAGACACATTTCCAGGGGCAAGTTAGCCTCGCCCAACACGTGTGTTTATTAGCGCCGGGATCACATTATTTTGCGCCACAACATTTTTATAATGCAAATTGGAAACATGTATTCTAAACCCACACGGGTAGTTAGAGCCATGCCTATATCCGTCGTAAAACTTGAGCTTCGGTTTCATTTCAGACTAAATTCTGATGTGTGTTGGCTCCATGACTATTTAAATTCAATGGGCAGAGAGCTTGTTCATCCATCTACGTTACAAAAAGACTGTTACAATTTACATTATGTGTGCTTAGTCTTTTAGGTGTGTGTAGCCAACTCAAATTTGTATGGAGTTGGAACAGCGCCCCTAGCGGCGTAGGCAGGAAGCTTGTTTCAACTCCATACAAATTTGAGTTAACTTTTACGCGATCGAGAATTTAAAAAACTCCCGCTAAGCACAACAACAAAATAGAGTAATAAGCTGATTAGACAGTGCAATGTTTAACACAACGGTTATAGAGCTGGCGATTTTTAGAAACGAGGAACAACAAAGTAGGTATCGCAAATGTCTTTTTATATTTTAAGATAACGCATTCTAGCTTCAGCGACCATTTACATTCGGTTCTTTATTGGCTCTATAGTCTGACAAGCACGCGCTCCACGTTATGAAGGTACTATAGAAAATCACCGCTTCATGTGTGCAATACACTAAAAGGTCACAAGTTACCGTCATATATATTATTTTTTCTTAGATTTGTGGACGAGCTCACAGCACACCTGGTATTAAGTGGTTACTGGAGCCCATAGACATCTACAACGTAAATGCGCCACCCACCTTGAGATATAAGTTCTAAGGTCTCAGTATAGTTACAACGGTTGCCCCACCCTTCGAACCGAAACGCATTGTTGCTACACGGTAGAAATAGGCGGGGTGGTGGTACCTTCCCGTGCGGACTCACAAGAGGTCTTACCAGCAGTAAAAGTATCTAAGTGGAGTTTCCATAGACATTGAACTGGTTTAACCAGTGTTACCATCGCCTTTCTCTCAACTGTACCTCATGGTGTTACCTTGGGTCGGAACCGGTATAGGTCAGATTTGCGGAAGTTTAAAATGGATTAGAACAAAGGGAAAATCTTTCAGTGAACGGGAATTTTCTCGTATATTGCTATTCAAACTGCTTATGTGCAAGCTTATGTAGAAAATGTCGATAGCTTTTTTTTTCTACTTATATTGATAGCCTTGAGAGGCTATTTCACCTTCGCCCAAACATGTAGGTGAGCTCTCGGGGCTCAAACTGGAGTGTTGCTAACACTGACCCTAGCAAGAGCAGTGTTTCGCAGAATCTACCACCGAATCGGAAACGCGACCCACTGAGAAGATCCGGCGAGAAACTCAGTGGGCTGTGTCTATGGATTAAGGTCAATAACCCAATACATCCAATTGTCAAATATCTTATATTTTATAAATTAATACGTGAAGCAAAAACTTTGTATCCCTATTCCCGAAAATTGCGCGGACTGAGGATTATGAAATCTCCCATACTTATAGAGAATATAGAGAAGCAGTGCACAATGCTAATATTTTTTTTAAATAATGCATAAAAGATACATTAAATAAATAAAGAAAACATTACACACACTACCATGAATATGACACACACACACACACA